AGTCTATAGGAGAGGACTGGAACAATTCAAAATAAACAAACTCTTCCTGTAAAACAGGAACTTATTCACGTGATCATATTTGACCCACTCCAACATACCTTCTCCTAAACTAAAGACTCTCAACTTTAGTTTATCTCAGTTGCTTCCAACACACCCAACATAGCTCGCAGCTTCTCATACTGATCAACCTTCAACGGTTTTGTCATGATGTCTGCTACTTGAGCTGATGTGTTACAGTACTTCAACTCTATTGTTCCATCATTCACCAAATCACGAAGGAAAAAATACCTCACATCTATGTGCTTGCTTCGATTGTGCATAAACGCATTTTTCGAAAGCTTTATAGTTGACATGTTATCACAATTAATAACAGTACCTTCTTCCTGAGTCAGACCAATGTATTCAAACATTCTTCTTAGCCATACAACTTGACACGCACATGTTGTGGCAGCTACAAACTCTGCTTCAGTAGTCGAGAGGGTTACAATTGGTTGTCGTTTGGAGGACCAAGCAATTGCAGCTCCACTAAGAAAACATACATAACCTGAAGTGCTTCTTCGATTGTCATGATCACCAGCATAATCACTATCAGAATACGCCACTAAAAGATCGTTGCCTCCTTTCTTATAAAAAATTCCAAGTTCTTTAGTCCCCTGGATATATCGAAACAATTTCTTCATTGCTGCCATGTGTTGTTCAGTTGGAGCCTCCATATAACGACACAATTGACCAGCAACAAACATTATATCTGGACGTGTTGCTGCCAGGTACATGATACAGCCCACCATTTGTTTGTAGATTGTTGCATCAACAAACCCACTTTGATCATCCTTCACCAACTTGCAGCCCGGAACCATAGGAGTCTTTACACCATTGCAGTCTTTCATGTTGAATCGTTCGAGTATTTCATGAGCATACTTCCGCTGATTGAGATGAATACCATCTTCACTTTGTATAACCTCTACACCCAGAAAATATCGCATTTCTCCTAGATCTGACATCTCGAACTCAGACTTCATCGACGCCTTGAATTCCTCAATTACTTCGAGTGTACTTCCTGTTATAATTAAATCATCTACATAGATAGAAACGATTAAGAAAACATTTTCCTTAGCTGATTTAACAAACAGGGTCGGCTCAAATGGACACTTTTTGAAGCCTTCCTTAAGAAAGTAGCCTTCAATTTTCCCGTACCAGGCCCTCGGAGCCTGCTTTAAACCATATAGGGCCTTCTTCAATCGATAGACCTTTCCTTCATTACCTTGTACTTCATAACCTTGGGGTTGTTCTACATACACAGTCTCTTCCAAATCACCATACAAAAAGGCACTCTTTACATCTAATTGATGAACTTTCATACCTCGTTGTGCTGCAAGTGCAAAAATGCTTCTAATTGTATCCCATCTAGCCACTGGAGCAAAAACTTCAGAGTAATCAATCCCTTGCCTTTGAACATACCCTTTACCACGAGTCGAGCCTTGTATTTATCGATCTTCCCATCCTTGTCTAGCTTAGTTTTGAAGACCCATTTCACACCAATTGCTGTTGCACCTGCTGGCAGATTGCATAATTCCCAGGTGTTGTTTCTTTCAATTGACTCGATCTCCTGCTTCATTGCCTGTATCCAACACTCGTCTTGCGCAGCTTCTTGATAGTTGGTTGGTTCCGATAAAGAAGAAAACATAGCAACGTTTTCCCTTTGTTCTTCAACATCTTCTCCACTGACATAATCTTGCATCCAAGACGGTGCTTTTGTTGCTCTCCTTTTCTTCTTTCAACAATACTGCTTGTAACTGGATTAATGTTTGAAGGCCCGCTTTCATTTATATTCGACGTCCCATCAGCGTTATTAGCCCTATTTAGTTCATTCGATGGGCTATTAACAACATCTGAGGTATTTGGCCCATCTTCATCACTCCCCTGCTCATCTTTATCTTCCCACTCCAGGTCGGTAGGGTTGATCACTGATTGCTGTATCCARTTCCAGGARGCATCTTCTTCAAATACAACRTCTTTACTCACAATAATCTTYTTGTTGGAAGGGTCATAGAGTCTATATGCTTTGGACTCTTCACTAACCCCAAACAAGACACACTTTAAGCTTCTGTCATCCAGCTTCAACCTTCTTTCCTTAGGAATATGAACGTGAGCAATGCATCCAAATACTCTRAAATAACWTACAGATGGTTTTCGAYCACTCCACTTTTCTTCTRGTGTGCAATTTTCAAGAGCTGCAGTAGGACTTCGATTGAGTACATGTACGCACCAGTTGGTAGCTTCAGGCCAGAAAATCTTTGGAACCTTCCTTGCACTCATTACACTTCGCACCATATTTATCAGAGTTCAGTTTTTTCTCTCTGCCACGCCATTTTGATGTGGTGTGTAAGCTGCAGTGAGTTGTCTTTGTATGCCATTGTCTTCACAGAACACTTTGAACTCACTGGAATTGTATTCACCTCCTCTGTCGGTCCTCAAACATTTAATCTCAACTCCTGCTTCTTTTTCAACCAAAGCTTTAAACTTCTTAAAAGTGTCTAAAGCTTGTGATTTTTCTGTCAAAAAATAACTCCAACACTTTCGTGAGAAATCATCAATAAAGATAATAATGTACCTCCTTAGACTCGTCGATTGAGGGGTGATGGGTCCACAAATATCTGAGTGGACAAGCTGAAGTTGTTGGGTTGCCCTCCATGAACTTGTTTTAGGAAATGATTCTCTGGTTTGTTTTCCTACCAAACAGTCCGAACAAGTTCCACCTTCGACATTAATCCTTGGCAGCCCCCTYACCAGATCCTTATCATGCAGCACCTTTAAGCTCCTGTTGTTGATATGCCCGAATCTTTGATGCCAAAGACGAGTAGTGTCATCAGTTTCTGTTTTGTGACACTCATCAATGCCACYTGGTCTAGCCTTGATCATAAACATTYTGTTTGAGGACATTTGAACCCTTGTGATCAGCCCCTTTTTTGGATGGTATATGCTGCAAAAACCATTCTTAATCAAGATCTCTATTCCCCTTTCTTGGACTTGGCCAACACTGATCAAATTGTTCATGAGATCTGGGACATAGTATACATCATTCAACGTGTGAATCACACCTTCAAAGTCGAGACGAACATTCCCTTTTTCCCATGACAACCATACGAACATCATTTCCAAGTCGCACATTATTACGGTAAGATTCATCCAAGGTACTAAACCATTTTCTTTCACCTGTCATATGATTGGAACAACCCGAGTCAAAGAACCAATTCCATTGTTTTGTYGAGCCACCTTTATCCACTTGAGCCATCAACACCATCTCCTCTGTATCATTATGTTCCACATAATTARCATCCTTCTCCCAATCTGGACATTCATTTTGGAAATGTCCAAGTTTGTGGCACCTGTAACATTCTATCCTACTTCTATCGAATGAAATTCTGCCACGACCTCTTCCTCCTCGACCGCCTCGTCCTCTTCCCCGTCCACGAGAGGGTRACCCAGTTGATATCTTCAGAAYMTGTTCATCATCTTGC